TCCAGAGTGGGAAATAACAGACACAATTATCTTATTCGCAGTCGGCCATACTGCTCCTATATATCGATTGAGAATTCACGAGTTCATTCAAGGCGCGACCAAAGCACGGCAAGGCAACGCCAGCACTGGGCGAGGAATGGTTGGTTTCCGAGGAGGGTGCTCGCAATCTAGCGCAGTGGATATCGTTATCGGTTCGCAGAATGTCGAGGGCATGGCGGGGGCGGCGGATGATAAATTGCATAGCTATACTGAGAAGCTGGGCAACGACGAGCTCATCTAAGAGACTCACAAGCACGAGTCCTTTTATTATACGACCGAACGTAAGTTGTTTGGTATTTCTTTCTGGGAGCCCTGGCTCCGATGAGACTGCTGGAGTTGGTTTTCTCGCGTCGCCGCGGGCTCGCAGGAGCGCTACTGGAGTCAATCTGATGGGCGAGAGAATTTCGCACGCGAAGCTTCGTTCTCGCGGCGGAAAGGTGCCGATCTTCAGCGCGCGCGCCCCTCATAAGGGGAAGCTGGGCCATGATGGGCAAGCCTTTTTGCGATCAGTTGGCAATATTCTTGCTGGCACTTCCAGACATGGACATGCCGTGGCGCTGGGGGGCCCCGCCGCTAGGCCCCGCGGGCAATTCGGAGGGGAGGGGTCGATTCTGGGAGGCCGCGTCTTCGGAGACCCGCGCACTCCGCGCAACCCTCTATCCAACCCAAGCCTGCTCGTGGAGTTATGCCAGAGAGAGGGGCCGGCTGTCACCAACGCGTTCTTCGACCATTCCGCGGATTACCAGATCATGTGCTAGAATGCGGGGCCCCATCCAGGATCCGGCTGTGCCGCGACATTCTGGTCGCGCCGATTTGTTTTTCATGCGACGCGGGCTGCGTGAATCTGGTGGCAGACATGTTGGGCAGCCGGGAGTATGCACTTGCTTCGCATCACTTTCTGTCACAATTCCGCGCGCGCATAGAGATTCCGAAATCGAAGCGCGAGAAGGGCTCGAAACGGGACCAGTCAGCAATGGCCAGCACTGCAGGCCGACATTTGTTCGTTGATACTCTCACCAACCATGTGCCCGCATGGTGCCAGCACCAGTCCCTGGACAGCTTGCGCGATGCAGTGGCCAATGCTTTCGCTGCTACCGCAGAATGCCTCCCGCGAGAGGCGGAACGAAGAAAGCAACCGCGGGTGAGCAGCGCCACGATGGAGCTCATCACCAGTCGGAACGAGGCGAGACGACACGTGGATTCAGCGAAGGAAACACGTTTTCGCGGAAATATCGGAGCACCCATCAAGATGGACACGGAGCACTGGTCGCACGGACTGTTGGAGAACGGCGACTGGGACCAGGCGCGCAAGCTCTGGAAGCTCTGCGGCGCCACCCAAGGCGATTGCGGAGCCTGCGCAGCCAAGAAGTTGATAGAGACGAGCTGGCCCAGACGCTCGCCGAGAATTTCGCGACAGTGCAGTGGGCCGTGCGGCCGGTCACTGCCGCGGACGATCCCGAACCTATGGGGCCCCAGCTACCAGCGCAGGCATGCCCGATTACCCAGGCGGAAGTGCGCGCGGCAGCGCGCGCGCTGAAACGGAATCGCGCGGTCGGCAATGGCGGCGCCCCAGCTGGGTTTTCGAAATCTGCAGCTCAGACACGCCAGCGCGCGAGTGGGCCGCTCTGCGTTGCAATCGGTGTTGGGCGGAAGCGTATGTGCCCGACGCCTGGCGCGAGGCGATTGTCGCGGCTATCTTCAGGAAAGGCGACGTCGCCGAGCGCGAGAGTTACAGGTCGATTTCACTCTTACCCATCTGGCGCAAGCTCTGCGCCCCGAAATTGCTTGCACGCTTGAAGAGCGCGGGTGCCGAGGACCGGATTCGGGGAACGCAGTTCGGACTCAGATCTGGTAGCGGAACGGCCGACGCACTGTTCGTCGCACGGCGGCTGATCGAGGACACCGTGGACACAGCGTCTGGGAGGCTGCTTCTTCTCGCACTCGAATGGGCTAAAGCATTCGACAGCGCGTCGCCAGATAGCCTCCTGCTGGCGTTGATCCGCGCCGGCATCCCTGTGCACTTCGCCGCCGCTGTGAAGGAAATCTACCGCAACAGGAGCCTCCGCGTCCGGGAAGCTGGCTCCACTTCCGAATCTTGGCCGCAGGCGTTCGCCATGTCGCAGGGGTGCCCATTCTCATTTGTTGTTCTCGATCGCGGCGGCGGTCTTCGTGCACGACGCGAGGCAGAGCTTTGCTGGTCACGGGATGTTGCAATCCAATTCAATTCCGTTTAGCGAGTTCATGCGCGCGCCCTTGTAGTCGGAGCAGAATAAGAGTTCGTCTACCAGCTGATGGAGAGCGTGCGCGTGGCCAGGAGGAACTATGGATTGGGGTTCAATTGGGGCAGTGTCGCGGTCCTGTCCGCGGGGTGCGAGACGCATATTGCCAGACCGCGCGAGTCAACAATTCCGCAGAGTGGCAGCGTGATCTACCTGGGCGGGCTATTGAACGCCGACGGCGGCAGCGGCCCCGCGCTGAGCAGAGGGATCGGCATTGCACGCAGGCAATTCCATAGTTTGTGCAAAATTTGGAAGCAAGCGAAGCGTTCACTTTCCAAGAAGGCCTTGGATTTCCAGCCTTGCGTCGTATCTGGCCTGATGCGTTGCTTGCGCACTCTGTGGCTGAACCAAGCAGAACTCAGAAAACTGGATGCTTTCCAAGCGCGCTGCCGCCGCAGAGTGGCTGGCGTAGCGCGCCGGTTTGCCAGCCGCGTTTCGAATGATGCCGTCTTGGCCCAGTGCAGCAATCAGACATGCAGCAGCCAGTAAGCATGCCGGCAGCTTGTGCTGGTGGGTAAGGCGGCCCATTTGCCAGACGACAGCGCCGTCCGACGCTGCAGTTTCGCCCCTGGGTCATTCTCGCTTTCCCGCGTGGGATGTCGCCGAAACGCGGCCGGCCGAAGAAACCGCGGAAGCCCAATGCGCGCGCCGCGACTTGCAAGGCAGCCGGCGATGCTGACAGATTGTGTCGATTGCAGTTTGTACATGACTGCCAACGCACCTTTGACGTGCATGGCTCTCTCTCTCTCTCTCTCTCTCTCTCTTTCTCTCTCATAGGGGGCTCCAGCGAAGGCCTCGGTGCCACCGCCCGCATGCGTCACCCGCGCCCATTCCAGCACACCCTTCACGCGTTTCGTGGCCCCATAGGGAGCTCCACGGGGGGCCCCGTCACCACCGCCCGCATGCGTCACCGACACCCATTCCGGCACACCACTCGCGCGTTTCGTTGCCCCATGAGGGGGCTCCACCGAAGGCCCCAGAGCCACGGCCCGCATGCGTCACCCACACCAATGTCGGCACACCCCTCACACGTCTCGTGGCCCCATATGGGGGCCTCACCGACGCCCCAGTGGCTGCGTTCGCATGCGCCCACCGCACCTACTTCGTGACCCCAGAGGGAAGTCTACCGACGGCCCCAGTGGCTGCTTCCGCATGCACCCACCGGACAAATTTTGGCGCACCCCCCTCTGGCCCCATAAGGGGCTAATGCGGTGCACATGACGACGGTATGCGCAACTTCGTATGACGACGGCGAGCGCGGGGGGAAATCAGAAGGAAAAATGCCATTTCAGCAGGAGGCGGGACTTTTCAGAAACCTTCCCGCCTTCTGAGAAGTTGTTTCTGTTTTCGGGAAAAGCTCAGCAAACTTTATCAGAAATCCGGGGGGCATCCGAAGTTTCCGAGAACGCACGCCCATATAAGTTTCCCCCCAGTTCGCCGCCTACTATGATTGGGTCCTCCGCCAAGCGAATTATTTGTCCAAATTCCGCCTGTAGGGGGACAGGCCCGACCTAACTCAAGACCTCTTAGATGGGGCCCGAGTGGTTGGGCTCGGAGGACCGCGCCCTATCATCGGTGCATCGACGACGCGGCTCGTGGACGAGCCCGGTTTTCATGTACGCTGGCGTCGCCGATGCGTCGCCGATGCATCGCCGATGCGTCGGCGATGTGTCGCCGATGCGCCAATGCATCGGCGTCGGCGCGATCCTCCAAACCCATTTACTCTGACCCCATCTAGGATTACGCTGTTCCAGCCTACTTTAGCCTGGTCCACTTGAAAACACTTCGGGCCCCTGGAAGCGATACCTCGCTGGACCCTGTCTCGGTGCGTTTTCCTGGGTGCCCGAGATGTTTGTTTCTTGGATGTGGTCTTCAAGTACGATGGGAGCAATAGCAGGCCTGTCGTGGAGGGATGACGTCGAGCGTTCTCCTCGGTTCGCGCCGGCCTTCCGGCCCCTCGGGGTGCCCATCCAGACGCCGCGCCTCGAATCGGGGGGCGGTCCCGGGGCCGCCGATCGGCCGCCGGATGGCTGCCGCGCTGTGGCAGCGACGGCTCGACTGATCGCGTGTCAGCTTGTTGGTGGGGATGAGCTCTGGGCCGGCCCACGCGTTCTGCCACCAGCCATTACTGAAGGGCCTGTTTTCCACCACCCCCACCGCGTCGTCCTCCTCCTCTTCCTTCGTCCTCCTCCTCCTCCTCCTCCTGCCGCTACTCCTCCGTCTCCCTGTCCTTCTTCCCCCCATCCAACATATGGTGGTGGTGGTGGAAAACAGGCACATCAGTCACGGTGACCCCCCCCGCATGCCTACGCATCATCGTAGCATGCCTGGGCAAGGCCGTGTCGATGCCTCGGATGCCCAGGCATCCGCACGGGTGTGCCTGCGCATGCATCGAGGGACGCGTCCATGGACGTAGCTGGGCGTAGCCGATGCCCAGGCATCGACCTGGTGATGCCTAGGTATCGAGCTGGCGATGCCTCGGCATCGGCAGGAGGGTGCGCAAGATGGGCATCGATGGTTCCAGGTACCAGAGCCACTGGGCCGTCAGGGGTGGACGCCTCGACCCAGGAGGGTAAAAAACACAGACGCCATTGATCGCCGGTTCCCAGAAGAATGCCATCCAGGAGGCCTCCATATGAGCGCGAACACGCGACCCCTGGACGGGCCGGGGCCTCGTGGCAGGCAGACGCCGGCGACGAGCTCTTCGAAGAGGCGGCTGCCGAGCTGGGCGCCGCCGCTGCCGGCGCCGCGGAGGCCGACGAGGCCCCCCCACCCGCGCGCGTTGGGTCGCCGGCGTGGTCGCGGCCGCCGTGGCCGTCGTCGTTGTGCCCTGAGGTCCCAGACCTCCAGCGTGTGGCAGACGTCACGACGCACGTGTGTGCTCGACCGAGGTTCCTCCCCGCAAGCGGAAGGACCACATCCCAGAAACAATTTCGGGCACCGAGAGCGGTATCGAGATATTGTCGAACGAGTATTGCCTCCGGGGGCCCGACGCGTGAAAACCCTCAAGCGTCAGTACTTTCTTGGTGCTCGAAAGTATTACTTGCGATCAAGGCTACACTAGGTTTGAACATCTGAATCCCAGACCTCTAAGGTGTCGAAGAAGTCAAGACGGGTATGTTCCTCGACGAAGAACACCATGAGCATGCACTTTTGGCGCTCCGCGCGGATTGCTTGGATCCGCGCCGGGCCCCCCAAGCGGCGCCTCCGCCGCCGCCCCTGGCGCGCTCCGCGCGCCAGGGAGGGGGGTTCCAGCGCAGATCCAAGAAATCCCCGCGGAGCGCCGGCAGTGTATGTTTACTGCGTTTTTCTTCGTTGTAGTTTTAAGTGAGGCACGTCCCTCTACAAGAAGAATATTCAAAAATAGTTGTTCCCAACCATCCTGTGGTGTTGGGTCCTCGTTTTGAAGAGACAGCGCCCCGCGTGTCCTCACCTTCCTTCCTCCTCCCCCTCCTCCCTCCTCCCCCTCCTTGCCTCTGTTCTCGGCACACCTCTCACACGTTTCGTAGCCCCATAGGGGGCTCCACCGAAGGCCCCAGTGGTTGCTCTCGCATGCGTTTCCCCCACCCTGGGCAGCGCTTCGTGGCCCCATAAGGGGGCTCCACCGAAGGCCCCAGTGGTTGCTCTCGCATGCGTTTCCCCCACCCTGGGCAACGTTTCGTAGCTCCATAGGGAGCTCCACCGAAGGCCCCAGTGGTTGCTCTCGCATGCGATTCCCCCGCCCTGGGCAACGCTTCGTAGCTCCATAGGGAGCTCCACCGAAGGCCCCAGTGGTTGCTCTCGCATGCGATTCCCCCGCCCTGGGCAACGTTTCGTGGCCCCATAGGGAGCTCCACCGAAGGCCCCAGTGGTTGCTCTCGCATGCGTTTCCCCCACCCTGGGCAGCGTTTCGTAGCCCCATATGGGAGCTCCAACGAAGGCTCCAGTGGTTGCTCTCGCATGCGTTTCCCCCACCCTGGGCAGCGTTTCGCAGCGTTTTACAACCTCGTCAAAACAGTTGTTCAGCACAATTGCAACATGGATGTTCCTTGAGTCTTGCAGAACAGGGTTTCAGAATCTTGCCCCAACAGCTTGAAGGCTTAACAACCAGTGTTCGGCAGGTTCAGAACCAGAGCTCGACATTGGAATCTGCCTCTGAACATGTTATGGTTCATCTCGCAGCACGTTTGAAATTGACAATCCAAGTTGGGTTATATATATGTTATATTATATATAGATATGTAACACGGTGGTCATACAAGTCGATACGATAGTCAATATAACCATGCTAATGTCTTTATACATTCGATTCACTTCTATGAAGTCTAATAAATTGTTGCAGAAAGGCGGATTCATTCAAGTGGCTTTGCACTTTTTGCACCACGGGCGACTCTGGCTCGCTTCGGGCCCCCCTGGGCCCTCACGGATCGCTCTTGCTCGGATCGTTGTTGCAACAAGAGTGGGCCCAGGGTTCCGGCCGAGATTTCCTGAGATTTTTGTGTATGTTTTTGTGTTTGATGTTGGGGTGGTCGTCGAGTCGTCGCCGCGGTCGTCGCCAGCCCCGGCCGCCTCCCGCTGTGCCGGGCCCGTGCCACCGCATGCTGCATGTCAACATAGAGCGAGGCGCACGCACATGAGGTCAACGCGTCACGATCGGACCGAGGTATAGATCGAGATCTGTTCGGGGAGGGTGCCCTGATGTTCTTCGTGTATCTTGGCTGTTCCCGTGCATCCTTGGGGAGGGTTGCCTCGAAGATTTTTCATATTGGCCGGCGGATGGTCTCATGTTGTTGAGGGGTGTTCTTCTGTTCTAGATCTGGCCGTATCCCTATAGGCGATAAAAGGGCGTCACCGGGGGAGTGATGGAGTTGAAGGGGGCCATTACCGTACGTTTTTTCGCTCCGGCGCCGTCTGGGGATGTCGAGGAAGAGCGAAAGACAGCTTGAGCACGAATCGCGACGTCACCTCGGGTCGTGAGGATGGCGGCCGGGGCCGGTAACGGCCGCCATCACGAAACATAGAACCACATAGATACGCCAGGCGATCATCTCGAGGCGGCCCGCGCTGTTCCACGGCTAGCTGAGCTCACTCTTCGCCACTGCACGGACGCTCGGCGATGCGGTGACTCTGGTAGGCGCTCTGGTTCGAAGCTACGCCCCCGCCGCCTGGGCCGTCGCTGGCGTCGGATCTCGGGCTGCTCGTCGTCGTTGCCACGGTCGTCGCCGTGGCCGTTGCCGCCGAGCCCAGGTCGTGTTCGCCGTGGCCGTGGCCGCAGTCGTCGCCGTGGTGGTCGTCGTCGCGGTCGTCGCTGTGGTCGTCGCAGCCGTGCCGTCGCCGTGCCCCGCCGCCTCCCGCCCCGCGGCCCCCATTGTGTTGTGCGCAAGCGTTGGCGCGTGCCAGGAGCCTCCTCCATGACAAGCATGGATCCCTCGCCTCTCCGTGCTGCATCTGTGCTGCTTTCGCGTTTACGCGTTACTCCGCGCGGGGCGGCGGAGTTTTTGACTATAGAGAGAGAGCTGGAACAAAACAACAAAGAAAGAGAACACGATAACCATGCAATGACCACTGGCCCGAGACAAAACACAGCAACAAACATCATGCCATGCGCAATCGAACAGGGGGAGCTGCGTACAGAGGAGGAGGAGGAGGAGGAGGAGGAGGAGGAGGAGGTGGAGCAGGAGAGAATGATGATGATGATGAGGAGGAGGAGGAGGAGGAGGAGGAGGAGGAGGTGGCGGGCGAGCAGGAGAACGAGCAGGAGGAACGGGGGAGGATGAGGAAAGGAGGGGGGGGGGAGCGAGCAGGATGGAAGGATGGATCATGTGGGGAAAACAATGCCGAAACTGTGATCTACGCGTCCCTAGTCGCGACGGCTGGATTCTTCTCGAAGGCCTGGCCAGAAAGCGCCCTAGGAGCGGTCTGGGGAGTAGCAGCATCGGTACCGTTCTGCCCCCCCCAGTGAAGGCAGGCGGAAGGGAGGAGGTGATGGGGTGGAAGGGGGGGGGGCGAAGGGAGGGGGGAAAGATGGAGAGGGGAGTACAGGGAATGGGGGAGGGAGGGAGGAGAGAGGAGGGACTGCTGGAGCTTGCTTGGGGTCGCCGCCCCCCCCCCGGGCATCGAGGAGGTGGCCGCTGGGCCGGTGGGCGCCACCGCGGGAGCCCCGCGGTCCCCAGAGGACCTCTGGCCTCCGCCAGCGGTGCCACTGCCCGCCGCTCGCCGCCGCCGCCGGCCCTCACGAGCGACGGACAGCCCTGGCCCCGTTCCTCGAAACAAAGAGAGCAACGGCACGAGCATGTGGTCGAAACCCATGTGGAAGAGGACACATCGGCAAATCAACATAAGCCTGTGGCGCTCCGCGCGGATGTCTTGGATCCCCGCTCGACCCATCCCGGTGGCGCCTCCGGCGCCGCAGATTTAAGCAATCCGCGCGGAGCGCAAACACATGGACAGTTCTAATACAGTGGAAACCCATGCCGAGGTTTCTTGGGACTCGGTGGTTTTGCTGTGGAGACCGTGACGTTCACACCAAAAACTAATGGAAGTCCTTGAGTTCCAGTGTTGGGTTTCTTGTTGAGGGCTTCTTTTGGTCGAGCTCCCACTGTATTTTGTCATGGGCCAGCAGAAATACTGGGGAGGCTTGTCCGAGTGGTGGTGGTCCAGGTGGTGGGGAATCCGGATCGTTGCTGGGTTGTCCGAGGGGTTGTCCGGTCCGCGTTGTATTGTCAGCTCGTGCGCGTGCCATTATCGTGCATACCATTAAGCCGGTCCTTTTCCGTGTATAGGAGGAATATTCAAGAATAGTCATAAATAGCCTGGGGACGATTTTCCGTGGTGTGTGGTCCCCGTTTTGTGGTGTTCGGTCCCCGTTTTGAAGAGACAGCGCCCTGCGTTCTCCCTTCCTCCTCCTCCTCCTCCTCCCCCCCCCTCCTCCCCCCCCCTCCTGGCCTCTGATCTTCGCATGTTTCTGTTTCGGCACACCTCACACATTTCTTGGCCGCATAGGGAGCTCCACGAAGCCCCCAGTGGCAAAGTTCGCATGAGGTTCCACTTCGATTTTGGCACACCCTCACACGTTTCTGTAGTCCAATAGGAAGCTCCACCGAAGGCTCCAGTGGCAAAGTCCGCATGCGGTTCCACCCAAATTTCGGCACACCCCTCACACCGTTCGTGGACGCATAGGAAGCTCCACCGAAGGCCCCAGTGGCAAAGTTCGCATGCAGTTCCACCCAAAATTCGTCGCACTGATCACACGGTTCGTGGCCCCATAGGGAGTTCCACCGAAGGTTCCAGCGGCAAAGTTTGCATGCGGTTCCAACCAAACTTCGGCACACCAATCACACGTTTCGTGGCGCCATAGGGAGCTCCACCGAAGGCCCCAGTGGCAAAGTTCGCATGCGGTTCCACCCCCATTTCGGCACATCCCTCACACGGTTCGTGGCTCCATAGGAAGTTCCACCGAAGGCTCCAGCGACAAAGTTCGCATGCGGTTCCACCCAAACTTCGGCACACCAATCACACGCTTCGTGGCCCCATTGGGAGCTCCACCGGAGGCCCCAGTGGCAAAGTTCGCATGCGGTTCCACCCCCATTTCGGCACACCCCTCACACGTGTCGTGGCCCTATTGGGAATTCGCAGGAAAGTTCGCATGCGGTTCCACCCCCATTTGGGGACACCCCTCACACTGTTGGTGGCCCCAGAAAGAGCTCATTCGAAGGCCTCAGTGGCAAAGTCCGCTTCGCATGCGGTTCCACCCCCCATTTTGGCACACTCCTCACGCGCTTCGTGGCCCCATAGGGAGTTCCACCGAAGGCCCCAGTGGCAAAGTTCGCATTCGGTTCCACCCCCCATTTTGGCGCACCGCTCACACGTTTCGTGGCCCCATAAGGAGCTCCACCGAAGGTTCCAGCGGCAAAGTTCGCATGCGGTTCCACCCCCAGTTCGGCACACTCCTCACACGCTTCGTGGCCCCATTAGGAGCTCCACCGGAGGCCCCAGTGGCAAAGTTCGCATGCGGTTCCACCTCCATTTTGGCACACCCCTCACGCGCTTCGTGGCCCCATAGGGATCTCCACCGAAGGCCTCATTGGCAAAGTTTGCATGCGGTTCCACCCATATTTGGGCACACCTCTCACACGCTTCGTGGACGATGATCACACTTGAGGCACCTTCACCTTCGCACGTTTGGGTCCTTCGCCAGGCCAATGCTGACTATGTGTTTGCTCTTTCTTCCAAAAGCCGCTTGTTGGAGGACATGCTGGACCTACACATGCCATCCACAGCATGTCACCACCAGGGCCGTTCCTCGAAGGATAGAGAATGGCATGACCATAAACCGTGTGAGCCTCGAGCGGATGTCCTGGATCGGCTGTGGGCCGCCTTGGCGGCGCCTCCGGAGCCGCCCCTCTGGCGCGCTCCCCACGCCGCGGATGGAGTCCAGCGCCGATCCAGGAAATCCGCGCAGGGCTCCAAAAGTGTGCTTATGTCGTTCGTATTCCCTCTGGTTCCGTGCTCATATGTTCCTTCCTCAGGTTGCCAAGATGGCTCATGTTGTTTCTAGCTCAGCTGACTTCCCGTTGTTTCCGGGTTACCCGTGATGATGTTATGGTGTATAGCGGTGCCGAGTAATTCTGTGAAAATACAGGCCATTGCCATACACATGCGCATTCATTTACGCATACATACATATACGTTTTAGGCAGCGTGGACCCCAACCAGCGTGCTTCTTGCAATCCATGTTGTGCAGTCCATGTTGTGCAATTCATGTTGTGCAATCCATGTTGTGCAATCCGTGTCTCTCATCTGTGCAACATTTGTAGTGCAATTGATACGGCGCAATACATGTGGTACATTCTATGCTGTGCAATTCACTTGCCGAACTTGATGTTGTCAACTCCACTGCTCGCGCAATCATCCCACCCACCCACCCGCAACTTGGTTTGCAAAACCCATGCGGGACCGAGCACAGATATTGCTCCGGGGTCGTCTTGGAGCCCTTGGGGGCGTCTCAAGAGCGCCCCAAGAAGGCCGGAGAAGCAAGACGGCCGACGACGAGGAAGACGACGACGGCGGCGGCGACGACGACGACGCCGACGTCGACGAAGACGACGACGCCGAGTCCGACGACGACGACGAAGACGACGACGATGTCGCCAACGAAGACGACGACGAGGGAGGAGGGAGGACGACGACGGCGACAACGACGACAACGACGACAACGAGGGAGGAGGGAGGACGGCGACGACGCGAACGACGAAGAAGGAGGAAGGACGGCGACACCGACGACGACAACGACGAGGGAGGAGGGAAGACGACGACGAGACGACGACGACAACGACGACGACGACGGCGACGAAATAGGAGGGACGACGACGAGACGCCGACGACGGGCGACGACGACGACGACGACGAGGGAGGAGGAGGGAGGACGACCACGACGACAACGACGACGGAAACGACCACGACGCCAAAGAGGACGACGACGACGAACACGAGGAAAGACACAGGACGACGTAGGCGACGACGACGACGACGCGGGAGGGGAGGACGGCGACGACGACGACGACGCCGCAAGAGCGCGCGCGCACGCTTTTGTTGAAAATCCGTGTTTCGAAACCTTGTGTTTTTGTAGGGTTTTTGAACGCGCGATTTTGAAGTCCTTCCGAAACCGATGGGTTTTGAAGGATTTCGGCGTAACCCCGGGAAGCAATCAGTAAACCCCCCTCCCCCCCCCCCCCTCATCAGAGGAAATTATAACGCTTCCGGCACCGGGGCCGGTGCGGAAGCGATATCCCCCGCAGGTCACAAAAGGTCCGCGGAGGGGAGGTCCCCGGAGGTTCCCGGGAGGCATCCAGAAAGGCCTCCACAAGCCTCTGAATACCCGGTCCCCTTGTAGTCCAGAGCCCAGCGACAATGCACACCTGCCCAGAGTCGCTTCCTGTGATTCTGTGCGTTTCTGTTGGATTCCTCAGAGATTCCTTTGATACTCCGATTGGCTTCTTTTAAGATTCCTTGCCGTTTCCATTGTGATTCTTTTTGGGCTCCTTTGAGACTCCTCTGGTGTTCCTTTGATGTTATTCTGGGGGTTCCTTGAGGTTCTGGTCATATCCCTTTGATGCCCCATTGCTTAAGGGAGCATCACATCGACATCCGGGGCCGGTGGATTATTTTATTTTCAATAAATGTGCTAACATATCGCGGGGGTGTTCGCGGAATTCGTCTGCGATATCCCTCCGTGGACTCTCCCATAGGATCCCCTGAAATAATCAATTGCACTATTGCTGTCGCAATAGGGATTGCTTATGTCCACGCGAGCCCGCGTTTTCCAAATTCCTTAGATTCCTTCGTGGTTCGTTTGAGCTGCCGCTGAGATGCCTTTGCGATTTCTGTTGGGCTCCTTTGAGATTGCTTTGAACTTCCATTGGTTCCTTTGATATTATGCGTCGTATTCCTTGTGATATTCTTATGGGATTCCTTTGGGGGTCCTTTCAAGTTCCTCTGACATTCCTTCGGCAATCCCTGAAGGGAGCATCACATCGACCTCCGGCGCCTGTGGATTATTTTATTTAAATGTGCTAACATATCGCGGGGGGGTTCGCGGAATCCGTCTGCGATATCCCTCCGTGGACTCTCCCCTAGGACCCGCTGAAAAAAAAAAAAAAAAAAAAAAATCCCCATTGCGGTCGCAAAAGGGCTTGCTTATGTCCACGCGAGCCTGCGTTTTTCAGATTCCTTAGATTCCTTCGTGGTTCGTTTGAGTTGCCGCTGAGATCCCCTTGCGATTTCTGTGGGGTTCCTTTGAGATTACTTTGAATTTCCAGTAGGGTTCCTTTGAGATTCTGCGTGGGCTTCCTTCTGAGATTCCTCTGGGATTCCTTTGGGGGGTCCTTTCAAGTATAGTTGCTTGCGGTGATTTCATTGTTTGTCATGTTGGATTTACCCTTGATATTCGATGCGCGTCAATTTCCCAGTGTTCTAGCAAGGCGGGAACCCATGGGCAAGCTTTCGTGCGCATTGGTTCTTCAGGCTGTCGCCTCACGTTGCCGCCAGCTTCGGGCCCAGGGGAAGGAAAATTAGTTATTATTGTATTTAAAACAAATTCTTATGTGCTAAAGATATCGCCGGAGGGCGCCGCCCAACATGATTATTTATTTTATTTTCTGTGCTAGCGATATCGCCGGGGGGTTTACAGTTTGCTTCCCGGGGTTACGCGCGCGACGACGCGCGCGTCTGCACCTCGTCCCTTTTTTCCGAGGATTCTCGCGACGGCGTACGCGCAAGGGCGTTCGACAGATTTCGACATGCGCGCGCAACGCCCGTTTGGTAGCATGTTGTGAAAATCTTGTACAAAACCAATGTTTTTTGTTTTTGTTTTAAAGATTTTGCAAGAGCTCGCGCGTAAGCTTTTTTAACACACCAGTGTTGCGAAGCCCTGTGTTATTGTATGTGTTTTGGGAAACTCGATTGCGAATTTTTTTCCGGTGCCGAAGGTTTTTAAATACAGATTTTGGCATGCGCGCGCGACGACGCGCGCGTGCGCATTTCGTCATATTTGTTGCAAGGGGTTCGTGACAAAGTGTTGTGTTAGAACAACAAGTGTCACCGCATGTTTTTTTTTTATATTATAAACAAGGGAATTTCAGGGGGGGAACCCGATTGGCCTGGGACATTGTGCTTTCATTTTTAGGATGGACATGTGGTCATAATCATATGTGATCTACATACCCGAAGTGGGGGCGATAAATCCGGGGGGGGGGACTCTATTTTCCTTTTAGAATGGAGAATCTACGTGGAACAATACATGTGGTACAACCTGTGTTGTGCAACATATGTGGTGCAACATCAGCTGAGCTATATATGTGGTGCGTCCTATGCGATGCAACATCCGTAGTGCAACCAATGTGCCGCCATGGACGATGTGCAACATATCGGGTCCAACCTAGGTCATGCAACATACGTGGTACAATCTAGGTTGCGCCATCTATGTTGTGCAGTCACTATCATGCAGTGAAGATGGCGCACTATAGGTTGTGCAATATGCGTGATACAACCGTGGTTGTAGAAAACATAATGCACGGCTTATGTGGTACAATCTCTGTGGTGCAATCGATTCTCGGGCGTAGCCCGAATTTGTTTCTCGCGAGGTGAAGTGGACTGGACGGGACTGGACTGACGTAAACTCAACTGAATTGGACGGACTGGCCGCACTCGTTACGCGACGGTTTTAATCTCGGCGGCTGAGGGCGCAACCTATGGCGCAACCGATAGGAGACTGTTCTATTCTCGGCCGCCGTGGGCGCAACTTATCGCGCAACCGATCGGAGACTGTTTTGTTCTCGGCCGCCTGGGGCGCAACCAATGGCGCAGCTGATAGCAGACGGTCTTATTCTCGGTCGCCGAGGGCTCAATCTATGGCGCAACCGATAGGAGACGGTCTTATTCTCGGCGCCAGATGGCGCAACCAATGGCGCAACCGATAGGAAACGTTCTTGTTCTCGGCGGCCAAAGGCGCGACCTATAGCGCAACAGATAGGACATGGTTTTATTCTCGGCCGCCGAGGGCGCAACATATGGCGCAACCGATAGAAAATGGTTTTATTCTCGGTCTCCGAGGGCGCAACCTGTGGCGCAACCCACAAGAGACGGCTTTATTCTCGGTGCCACAGGGCGCAAGTTATGGCGCAACCGATAGGAAACGTTTTTTTTCTTCGGCGGCCGAGTGCGCAACCTGTGGCGCAACAGGTAGGATTGGTTTTATTCTCGTCCGCCGAGGGCGCAACCTGTGGCGCAACAGGTAGGAGACGGTTTTATCATTGGCGGCCGAGGGCGCAACTTATGGCGCAACCGCTAGGAGACGTTGTTATTCTCTTCGGTCGGGGGCGCCACCGATGGCGCAACATATAGGAAACGGTTTGATTTTCAGCCGCCGAGGGCGCAACCTATGGCGCAACCAATAGGAGACGGGTCAGCTCGCAACCTATGGCGCAACCCAGAGGAGACGGCTTTATTCTCGGCCGATGGGGCTCAACCTATGCCGCAACCCAGAGACGGCTTTATTCTTGGCGCCAAAGGGCGCAACCTATGGCGCAATCAATCGGAGACGGCTTTATTCTCGTCGGCCGATGGTGTCAACCTATGTGTGCCCTTGGCACGACCAGGGCGCCGTCAACGCACTCACCGTGCTGGGGGCCCGCGAGTAGTACGAGGACGAAGCGTGGGCATCCAAATGTATGCGGGGCTACACCCGATGAATGCTCGCCGTTTGGGCTGGCGGTGGGGCCGGACTTGGAGCTGTCAATTCCACTGCTCGCGCAGACATCCCGCTGGCCTTCCGCAGCCTGGTTTGCAACCCCTATGCGACGGCGATTGCGATGAGTGCTTGGCGTGGGCTGGAGCATTTCTGCGGCCGTGCTAGCCTTTCTCGGCGTCGCGAAAATGATCGAGCGTCGCGCATCGTTGGGCGCGTAGGAAGTCAATGGACCTAGCAAGTGTTGGTGTGTCCCAGGGCACGTGTTGGGTCCCCGTGTCCCTTGGAGGGGTCCCAGGCCAGGGGCCCGGGATCCTCTTTGCTCTAGGACCCGTTTCCACCTGGGCGCGTGCGGGCGCCCACGCGGCGTGCGCACGGATCTGGCGTTCGCTCGGTCGTTTTGGGAACCGTTTCCTGCATGCTTGAAGTACTGGTGTGCCCATCTGCGGCTTATGGTCGTCCCATCTCTCGGGAGGGAAACAAGGTGCATCAACGACACGCCGAAGTTGGCAGCCCGTCAGCCGTGTTTGTCCGACGACCTTGTGTTTCTTACGCAGGAATGCGCGGATGGCTTCCCAACGGGCGCGTGCCTGTTTGGATGGCCCACCTCATAGTCTTCCTTGCTCTTCTTCCTCCTCCTCTCGTCCTCCATTCCTTTTCCGTATGGATAACTCCTCCGTTCTCATCGCTTATGATTTTGAAGATGAATCCTTGACACATGTGGCTCTCGCTTTTCCCCGGCCCACATCCGTTATACAACTTGTACGTGTTTCACGGGTTTAGGGCGGTTCGTTTTCCACATGTGGTTCGCGTTTTAGCGCCGCGCACATCCGTTTTTGTTAACATTGCAAGTGTTTAACGGATTGAGGCGGCTCGTTTTCAACATGTTTTCTTGCTCCAGCGCCGCTCACACTCGTCATAAGCATTTGCTAGAGTTTCATGGATTGGGGGCGGTTCGTTTTGAATATGTGGATTTTCGCTTCAGCGCCGCGCGCAGTCTTTGAAACCACTTGCAAGAGTTTCACGGACTCTTGTGGCCAGCGTACCGTAAGTTGTGCTCTGGAAGGATGCAGGGATGTATGGGTGCAACAGTTTAGTTGATTCTCGATGTTGAGGTCCCAGGAATGATGTTCTGGCAAGATTCAGGATCGTCAAGACGCAGCAGTCATGTTGACCCGTCGCGTTGGAGTCCCGAGAAGGATGGTTTGCATGCTTCAGGGTCTTCAAGCGGTTGTCTCCAAGCGAGGCAGTTCGCTCAGTGGAAATGAACCCGTGCAGGGGTCTATGAAGAGGAAGCTCGGAGGGTGGGTTTATTTGAACATCATTGATAAGTCTTGGGTTTACACTGGTCCTTCTCGTCCTCCTCATCCTCCTTCCTCTCTTCGCTCCTCCTCTCCCTCCTTCGTCCTCCTCCCCCTCGCTCCTCCTCTCCCTCCCTTGTGATTTTCCCCCGTGCTCCTCCTCGCCCCTTCCTTCTTCCTCCTTCCTCATTCCTCCCTCCCTCCGCCTTCCTTGACTCTGGCTTCTTCTCCCCTCGCATCTCCCGCGCCCCCCCCCGCAGGAGTGAGACCCTGCCGCGGCCCCCACCCGCATCCGCGAGGCTGGCCGGCTGCCGCGCGGTCGTCGCCGATCGACGTCCGACAACGCCGACGCGGAACGACGAGCGACGGCGCCGACCACGCACGCAGGTCGGAGGCAACGACAGGGGCGAATAGCAAAGGGGGGAGCAATACATGTATCCGGGGTCCGGGGGCGCCGATGATCTATGTCTTCGACAAGGCTCCCGGACGAATATGCGTAACGCCTGCCCCTCCGCTATTGGCCCCTATCGTCGCCCCCGAGCAGGGCCGCCTACGATCCGATTCGATGCGATTCGATTCGCAAGTTAGGGCTGCGATCCCGATTCGATTCGATTCGGCTCGATGCATCAGCCTTGGGCCAGCCAGAGCGACGGCACCGACCACGACGACGCCGCCGACGATCTCGGGAGAAGAGACAGAATCAGCATATACTTCTAGCGCTCCGCGCGGATTTCCTGGATCCGCGTTGTGGCCCCCCCGGGCGCGCGGAGCGCAGAGCGCGCCTCGGGTGGCCACGGCCCCTGGCGCGCCAGGGAGGGGGGGGTGCAGCGCAGATCCGGGAACTCCGCGCGGAGCCCCAAGAGATCCTCTTGATGGCTTTGTTTCTTCTTCTGGACGAGCGACGTCGCCGACCTCGACGCATCCCGGAGATCCGACGCTCCGAACAGAAAGTGGAGCGGTCGGTTCTTGGCCGTTGTCGGCCTCTGGAGGCCCTCGCCCAGCCTCGGGGCCGTCAAACAAGGACTCGGGACGAAAGTGCGGCCCGATTGGAGTGGCCCAGACTTCCGGGGCTCACGCATCGGCAGAATTGGCTGGCTACGCGCAGAGGGGGGTCAGGGGGAGCAGGGGGAAGGCTTCTTAGAAGCACCCCTGCTTCTTAGAAGGCGCGGGCCCTGTCTGTAGACATCAGGCAGGTGCCCTCTAAGAAGCAGTCTCCTTCTAAGAAGCCTTCCCCCCTTCCCCCATCCCCCTCTGCGCGCCGCCAAATTGAAGCGGCGCCAGACATGCGACTTCCTGATTTTTTCAGGACGGCGTTCCTGGAAGTCTCGACCCTTTCCCTGGGACCGGTTTCTCGTCCCGAGTCCCGGCGAGGCCCACCCGGGGCCGAAAATAGCCAAAATGTTCCCATCCTGGGGCTGGATGCTTGGCAACGGTCGACGATTGGCAACCGTCCGCGCCGACGACGGCGAGGGCCACGACTGCGAGGACGCCGACGAAGGCGACGACGACGCCGAGCAGGCGGGCGGCAGCCGGGCGCGCGCCCTCCGCTCCAGGGGGGGCGGGCGCGCCGCGGGGTGTGGGCGCCGCCGCGCCCGGAGGCGAGCAGGGCGTGCAGGACGGGGCCGCCCTGCGAGGAGGAGGAGGAGGAGGAGGAGCTGGAGGAGGGGGAGGAGGAAACGGAGGAACAGGAGGAGGAGGGGGAAATGGAGGAGGAGGAGGAAGTGGAGGAGGAGGAGGAGGAAATGGAGGAGGAGGAGGGGGAGGAAGAGGAAATGGAAAAGTAGGCGAAGGAGGAGGAACTGTAGGAGGAGGAGGAGGAAATGAAGGAGGAGGAGGATGGAACGTCGAGGAGAGGGAGGAGGATGATGTGAAATGGAGGAGAAGGAGGAGGAGGATGAGGAAGTGTAGGAGGAGAAGGAGGAGGACGAAATGGAGGAGGAGGAGGAGGAAATGGACGAGGATGTATAGCCAGCGCCTTCTAAGAGGCAGCCTCCTTGTGAGAAGCCTTCCCCACTTCCTCCACCCCTGTGCGCGGGCCCCAACGTTTGCGGGAACTCAATCCCCCGCTTTCGCCGCCCGCGTCGCGCCCCGCCCGCGCGGCCGCCCTCAGCGCGCCGCCTGGCGGAAACACGGAAGAGAAACATCGCGGCGATCGTGTTCTCATTCTTCGGTTCGCCGATCGGCGCGGGCCCTCGCACCCCCCTTCTCAGGGCGCTTTCCGACTCCTCCGGGCCGATTCGAAACGATTTCCCAGGATTTCCGTGGGGGTGGGGAGAAGGCTTCTCCCCAACCCCACGGAGTAGATCTCGGCTGGTTTTGGCGCCTGTCTCGAACCTGTGTGGTCTCCCCCCACGGCGCAGGGTTGCAGACAGACGCACTGAGCAGTCTGGAGCTAGACCCCCCCCTTCCCCCCTTCCCGCCCAGTGTCGAAACGCAGAAAAATGTAGGGGAACAACAAGTGGCATAAACAACACAACTCGGAGGTCCGCGCGGATTTCTCGGATCGGCGCTGGACCCCCTTCCCTGGCGCGCGGAGCGCGCTAGGGGCGGCGCCAGAGGAGGGCCCCAGCGCCGATCCGAGACATCCGCGCGCACCTCCGAGTTTTTATGCTCATGCCACTTTTTGTTCCCCTAAAATGCGGGAAGCGCGTCCTGAGGGAAACATGCCTGGAGATTTTCCTCGCCGTCTTGGTGTTCTTTGGGGCCCTCCACGGGCCCCTCGGACTGTCCGAGAACGATTCGTGATGAGAAGCTCGTCTTGGAGGAAGGCACCAGAGTCCAGGTGGAGGGTTCCTCCGAAGGGCTGAGGCGACCCGTGGTCCTTTTCCTCCTCCTCCTCCTCCTCCTCCTCCTCTTTCCTCCTCCTCCCTTCTCCCTCCTCCTCCTCCTCCTCCTCCGCCTCCGCCTCCGCCTCCTCCTCCTTCTCCTCCTCCCTCCTCCCTCCTCCCTCCTCCCTCCTCCTCCTCCTCCTCCTCCTCCTCCTCCTCCTCCTCCTCCTCCTCCTCCCTGGGGGAAGCCGTGCACTTGGAGGAAGGCGCTGGCGTCCAGGACCGGCCTCCCCCAGGTGCACGCTTCCCCCATGCCAGAAGCACCGCTCCAGGGTCTTTTGGGTGCCATGCTGCCCCGTGGACCCCGGCGTTGTACAGAGGGGCACCCCGCGAGCGGCAGCACGTGGGTTCTGGTGACTGCCCCCCTACTTTTCAGTCGGGCCTGTCCTGTTACAGGAGGAAACTTTTAAAACAGTTGTTTGTTTAGACAAGAGTCAGGGGACGACTTGTCCACTACGTTTGGGCCATTGGGAGCCTGTTTTGACAATTTTGCATTTTTCGTCCAAAAGCTGAATGTAGGAGGACACGCCCGACCTAACCCTACTTCGGGACATCTGTGCCAGATTGAGGAAGCTTCTCGGAGGCGCGCGCGTGTCTGTGTGTTTGTGTGTCTTTGTGTGTGTGTGTGCGTGCGTGTTTGTTTGTTTGTGTGTGTGTGTGCGCTTGTGTGTGTGCTTGTGTGTCTGTGTGTGCGCGGACGACGCGGGGGTGGCGATGAGGGAATTCGTTGTTCCGTCTGGACTCTGGGGGGTCTTCTGTGCTGTACGTGTTCTTGCTGGCCTCATGCATTAGTTCCGTACATGTTGTTGCACCTGTATCTGAAGTTGTTTCGGAGAAGCTCAACAATCGCGTCCAATTTTTCGTGAGAACCCATGTTGCCAAATTGATTGAGATCCCGAGTGTCGAGCTTTGTGGGTCGGCCCAGCAGCAAGTCGTGAGATGATGTGGCGTCGTATTTTCTGTGAGTGAGTGGCCGTTCGTGTCCAGTCTGTTGCTTGTTGTTTGTCTCTTGCGCTCTGCGAGCAGCACCATCACGAAGTGGCGCTCCTTGTGGGGCAGCTTGCAGGCTTGCGAGGACCCACACGCCCATGTTCGAATGGCTGAGGCAGCGTTGGGCTCTCTTTACTGGCAGGATCATGCCTTTGTTCAGGAGCTCGCTATGGTTTCCGAGGTTTTCGTTGATTGACCGCGCCCCAGAGACCCTCTTGAAACAGGCTCGAGCTGCTGTCGGCGAGGCGCTGGCTGCCGACCCCGCGGCTCCCGTGCAGGGGACGATCTCGCGCACCCTCGAGGTTCATCTGATCAGAGATAACTGTTCGGCCCTCATTCTCAAACGCCTTGAAAAGTTGACCTTCCGACCCTTGTCTGTGCATGCCAAAGCGGGATGCAGCTGGCTGGGACGCCATGTGTGTGTGTGTGTTCTTCGGCACCGCCTGTTTTCTGAGCCCTCCGGCCGCCTGAGGCCCCGCCCGCCCGCGCCCTGTCTCCCCAATTAGGGCTACCCGCGTCCCGTTTAGCTGCGTGCGTGCGTGCGTGCGTGCGTGCGTGCGTGCGTGCGTGCGTGCGTGCGTGTGTGTGTGCGTGTGTGTGTGTGTGTGTGTGTGTGTGTGTGTGTGTGTGTGTCGGCCCCCCCCTTCCTCACGCGCGGCAGGCCTCGATCCTGAAAGCTCTGGTGAGTGCGTGTGTGTGTGTGTGTATGTGTGTGTATGTGTGTGTGTGTGTGTGTGCGCGGGGGCGGGGCTGCGGGGGGGGGGCCCAGGAGGGGAAGACAGAACGGTGGGTTTCCCAGGTGGATCAGGCTTGCAACTTCGGGCACTCCGGCGAAACTGATCCCCAGTCACAGCACACGTCTTGCGCCCACTTGTGGGGGGGCGGCGCAGGTTGTGTGGATCCCGTCCACTCCGACCTGTCTAGGCCTCCCATGTGGGGTCAGAGTTGATGATGGCGGAGGATCCCGCCGACGCCACCGATGCATCGCCAGCGGCGATGCACTGGCGACGTTTCGTCGATACGGCGCGGTCCTCAGATCCCATCTACTCGGACCCCATCTAGGAAGTCCCTTGAGGAGGAGATGTAGGGGGAGGAGGAGGAGAAGGAGGAGGAGACCCATTGATGTTGAAGTACACCCTTCCTCCAAGCTTCCTCTTCACAGGCACTAGGATGCATCATTTGCACTGTGGAAGTGCCCCGTTCGGGGACAATCCGTGTCAAAATCCAGACGTGTGCCAAAACACCGTCCTCAGCATTTCAACGCCGCGAATCAACCTGATTGTGGCGCCTTGACGACACTGTACCGTGCCAGAACACCATTCCTGGGATTTCAACGCCGCACATCAACGTAACTGTTGGGTCGCGGCAGTCCTGAACCGTTTTGAAATACCGTTTCTGGCACGTTAGCCGTGGTTCCACAAATCATTCATACAATTTGTAGAAGGGAATGTGCACGACGCTAACGCGAGAATCCAATTTTGAAAAGGAACCGCCGGAAATCCGTGAAGCACTTGCAGTTCTGAAAACGAATGTGCGCGGCGTTAGAGCAACATTTCAAACACACCCGCCCTCAATCCGTGAAACTCTTGCAAGTTGTTGGAACGAATGTGCGCGGCGCGTAGGCGAGAGCAACAGTTTGAACATGCCGCCCAAAATCCGTGAATTTGTGAAACAATATGCAAGCGAACGTACGCAGCACTAAGGCTGGAACCACATTTTGAGAACTACTCGCTCTGAACTCGTGGGTCGCTGGCATTTTTTGGAAACGAATGCACGCGGCGCAAAGGTGGGAACCACATTTTGATAGCGACCCGCCCTCCATTTGTGAAACTGTTGTCAGCTTGTATGCGTCAGGCCCCTGAGTGGTAAGGAAGTCTCGGGCGAAGCACCCGGCCCGCCTTTCCGACTGGCCTCGGGATGCGGCAGGGAGGGGTTATCCATATGGAACAGGAGTGAAGGAGGAGGAAGAGGAGGAGGAGGAGGAAGAGGAGGTGAAGGAGGAGCGGGGAGGAGGAGGGGGAGGAGGGAGGAGGAGGAGGAGGAGGAGGAGGAGGAGGAGGAGGAGGAGGAGGAGGAGGAGGGGGGAGGAGGGAGCCAGCACGCGGACGGTCGACGGTCCTCCCCCATCCCCCCCAAAGGCGCTTCCCCCTTTCTCCCCCCCCCCTCAGCCCCCCTGTCCTCTCTATTTCCCCCCTCCTGCGCCCTCCTCCTCCTCCTCCTCCTCCTCCTCCTCCCCTCCTCCTCCTCCTCCTCCTCCTCCTCCTCCTCCCCCCTCCTCCCCGCTCCTCCTTCACCTCCTCTTCCTCCTCCTCCTCTTCCTCCTCCTTCACCTCCTCCTCCTCCACCCCCCCTCCGACCCTTCCCCCCCATCCGTCCCCCCTCCGCCCGCGGCGACGACCGACCGACCGACCGACCGACGACGACCAGCGACGGCGAGTGACGAAGGCGGCGGACCGTCGACGGCGGACGACCGTCGACGCACGACCGCCGACCGACGGCCGACCACCCACGGCCGACGGCCGACGACGAGCCCCCGCCCCCGAGGAGGACCGACGGCCAGCACGGGGTGGGGGGCGCCGCTGCCGGCGCGCGTCTCGCGGGCCCCCGCCACGGCGCGCTTCGCGGGCTGCCCGCGACGAGCGGGCCGCGCGAGGCCCGCAGGGAGCGAGGAGCGAGGGCGGAGGCGAGTATCGAGGATCGAGGACAGGGGATGGAGCATGGAGGATCGAGGATCGGGGATCGGATCGAGGACCGAGGATCTGGGATCGGGGATCGAGCAGGGAGGATCGAGGATCGGGGATCGATCGAGTATGGAGGATCGAGGATCTGGGATCGAGGACATAGGATGGAGTATGAAGGATCGAGGATCCGGGATCGAGTATGGAGGATCGAGGTTCGGGGATTTGGGACCGAGGATAGTGGAAGGAGGATGGAGGATCAGGGATCGAGGATGTAGGATGGAGGATCGAGGATCGGGAATCCAGGATGGAGGATCTGCTGCAGAATCCTGCATTTTGATGTACATCTTCGGTGTGAAGACAAGGGTCCGCTTTCGTCGCGTATGGACACTGACGCTGGATGGAGGGGCTACCGACCTGACTGTTCGCGATGTGACATGCGAAGTGAACGTGGGGTTCACCACGCATTTGGTTTCGGCATGCTTGGTTGCCAGATCGCTCCACATGTCGCTTGCGTTTGAATTATCTCTGGGCTTGGACGCGCCCGAGCTGGATTGCAACACTCGGTAGCAATCGACGCGGTGCTTTGGCGAGGGCACGGGGTCGGCTTCTCGCGCGCGGCCCCGATTCCAGTGGGATCGCAACATTTCAGGAAAGCGAGGATCAATCCGTGCGATTGGCCGAGGGGGATGCGTGAAACGTGTGTGGAAATATTTCTCGCGCCGCGCTTTAGTAAGAGCGGCAGGTTGCTGTCCCCGTCATGCCTTTAGCAACGCCCACGAAGGAACGTCAATGTTGAGAAGGCCGACAACTATTTGTATTGATGGTTGATCGGTAGAGTTGAGGGGTCCCGTTTTGTTTCTGTTATGGCGACACCGAGCTAGATGATATGATAATGCTCGCCCAAAGCGCGATAGGAGGGGGGTGGGCGGAGGAGGAGGGGGACAGGGGCAGAGGGAGTGGGGGAGGAGGAGGAGGAGGAGGAGGAGGAGGAGGAGGAGGAGGAGGAGGAGGAGGAGGAGGAAGAGGGTGAAACGGAACCCTGTTTGGAGTTTGTCTAGGTGGAAGAGGCGGAGCAGGTGGAAGACAAGAAAATCATGATGTCGTCGCTCCACTCCTTCCATCCTTCATCCTCCCCCTTCCGCTGCCTACGCCTCTGTCTCCTTGTCCAGGTCCTTCACCTTCCTAATCCGCCTCCCCTCCTCGATCTGCTTTTCCTCCTCGTCCCCATGACCCTCCTCCTCCTCCTCCTCCTCTTCCTCTTTCTCTTTTTTGCCGTCATCGTCATCAGCAGCAGCATCATCACCATCATCATCATCATCATCATCATCATCATCATCATCATCATCATCATCATCATCATCATCATCATCGCCAGTCTATTCTTGTTATGTTGTCTCTCATTCGTGATACTCTTAATTTTCATATTTGTCTTCATCTCCTCCACCTCATCATCATCTGCATCACCATCCGCAGCCATAATTTTTCAAGGCCGATGAGGGTTCCAGTGGCCGCGGTTTTCCTGGGCGTTCCGAGGTGCAGGACCGCTCTGACGCCGAAGGCCGAACCTTTTTGGACCTTTCGGGGATATTGAAATCCCGGCTTCTTCCCACACCCTAAATATTGTCAGGTGGAACGCGACCATGGCTTCGATTTCTCTTGTCTTCGCGGTTGTGACGGCTTTGGCGGTGGCTGCACCTGTGGCGGCAACCAGCACGGTGGAACACGGAGTTTTTTTAGCGACGGTTACTTTAGGTTCAGCTTTCCCCGTGGCGTCTCGACAGCTACGGCAACAGCAGTGGACGTTTGCTGATCAGACCCAGGAGCTAGGGTCAAGTGATCAGCGGCGGTGGAATTACTGCCGACCGCCAGAGCGCCAAGTGCGGCAAGTGGTTCCGGACTGATCAATTGGCAAGAGCAGGCTACGAGTGCAAGTGCGGCGGCAAAGAGCGGGAACCAAATCGCCAGTGGAAATTCAGCCTGGCCTCCACGGCGAAACTACGAGAAGGACTTCAAAACCCATGGCACCTCCACCTTGGCTTTCGAACTGGTGGTGCTGCTCGAAAAGGGAATGGCAAGAACCGCGCCGAGGAGTTTTTTCAACAGCGTGGCACCGACGCCTGCAGGAGGTGGATCTCATCAACCAGCCCTGGGCTCGCGAGCAGCACGTCGAGCAGTTGAGGTCGCAGCGCAGAAGTCCGCGTGCGAGCAGCAGGAGCCATGCCGTCGGCGAGTGTGATTTCGCTCAGAACGCGAGCAGGCGGAGAAGGACTTCATGGTCCGCTCGGTGCAGGTTTCTCACGCAAGGGGTTGCGTCAAGGTGGAGCTGCGGCGACGCCTTCTCGGGTTTCAACCGTCGCGCCAAGGAGGGGTTGGGGGCGTGCCCGCGCTGCCTATCGCGGCGATGCTCTGCGACTGCGACCTGGAGATGGACGTGGAGGGGTTGGGCCCAGGGGCCTTGAGGATGGGCGGCTTGGGCCACTGCGAGGGCGCCGCGGCGGCGGGGCCGCGGCCTAGGAGGCTATTGCATCAGCAGCGGAGACGCTCGAAGGACGTGTGTCTGCGCAGCAGGGAATGTCGAGGGGGCCTCCAAACCGCGAGGAGAAGCAGGAGTGCCGGCAGGGGGGGCGGCGCCTGGCGCGGCGGCATCTTCGGCGATCCGGATTGCGACTGCCGGGGCGCAGGCGATGGTCAGCAACGCGAGTTAGGAGGGGGATGAGGAGTTGCAGAATGAGAATGACGTTACGGCGGCAGCCGTGCCTGCGGCGCGAGCGAAGGGCGGCGGCCCCAACGGGAACCAACCGCGAGGAGGGCTACCGCGCCATCTTCGCGCAGAGCATTTCGACGCGGGGCCCGGGGTCCGAGGGGGGGCTCGACGACCTGAAGGACGGCGGAGTTATATTCCCAGAAACGCACGTGGGCAGCTCGGGCAGCATAGAGATCCTGCAGCTCATGGGCATGCGAGTCTGCAAGGCTGTAGTGACGCCAGCCGAATAGGACAAGCGCAGTGAGCTCGCGCGAGAGGTCGTCGCTGCGAGCAGGTCGCACTTCGCGGCGACGAGCCCGAGGCGCATGGCGGCCGAGCAGTCGCATGTGTCGTGGCTGCGACAGTTGGACAGCGACTGGAAAGTTGGGCCCGTCGACTTCTGACCTGGCGGTGCTCAACTGGGCGTGGAAGGGCTGGCGGTGATGATCATGGGCGCATGCTTCGCATCGTTCATCGGTTTGTGGGGCGAGAAATTGTAGAAGAGAAAGACGAACGTGCCGAGGGTGGCATCGATGGCGCGGGGTCGCGGAAGGGCCACTGGCAGTGATTGGCGATAGGAACGTGAAGCCGCTCCAGTTGAAAAGGGGCCGGGTGGTTCGTGAATTCCATCGCGGAGGCGCGCGCGCCAGCAGGCATTTTGCGCGCCTGCGCGCGGGGCCGGGCGAGGGTGCTTGACAGCGCGGTGCTCTCGAAGTCGTTCCCGATCTTGCGGGGCGCGTCTGCGTGGGTCAAGTGGGCCCAGGAGATCGCTGCGGAGTTCGAATACATTTACGAGGAGACGCAGAGGCAGCAGCGCTGGGGGCGCCCCGCGCGCCGACGCCGCCCCCTGCCAAACGCGCCCGCGCGGGCGACCGACCCCGCCGGCAGGCGGGTTTGGTCGCGGGAAGAAGCGAGGGGCGAACGGGCCTTGAGGGGGGCGGGGGTGGCGGCCGGGCCATCTGAGCCCCCCTCCTTCAAGGGCCAGAGTTGGGAGTGCGCGAGGTCAGGTGCCAAGAATTCCCCGGGGTCGGCGCGGGGCATGCCGACGCGGGGGGCTGATTTGGCGACCGCGAGACAAGCGGCGACGAGGGGGGGGGAGGGCGACTGCGAGGGGCCCGGGGCACGGGCGCCGCCCGTGGCGGAGGGGGGCCCGACGAGCTCCTCGGCCTGAGCGGGGGCGAGAGGGGCGCGCCGCGGGAGATGGAGCTCGGGGCTGCGGCGAAAGAGGGCGGCGAAGCGTGGCGTTCGCCACCGCGGCGCGCGCAGAACGCGGCGGCGTGTCACTTCGACGACGTCGCGCCCAGGGGGCCCAGCAGCTGGCGCGGCAGCTGGGCACGAGCGGTGGAACAGATCGAGTTGGAGGGCGGTCGGCGCGATCGCTGGCGCGGCGAGCGCTTGAACTCCAGCCCCGCCGCTTCCACGTTGGGGGCGGGCGTCGGGGCCGACTGGGGCGAGCCCTCCAGATGGCGGGGCTCGGCCACCCCTGCTGCCGCAGGCGCTGCGGCGCGAGGGCGAGGGGGCGCAGGCGTCCGAGCTGGAGAGCCCGCGCAAGGGCATCGTCGGCGCGATGCCAACTGGCGGCGTCGTCCAGCTTGCGGCGCAGCAAAGCGGAAGTGGACGCCAGCGCTCGGCGAGATCAATGCCGTGGGCAGCGCGCAGCGGCGGCAGTTGGGCGCGGAGGTGGCGGGGGTGCCCGTCAGGCGCGTGATGGGCAGGGAAGTTCTATCGGGGGGCGAAGGCCTGCCGAGACGCGACAACGAGATTCGCATACATTGCAAGGGGGCACGCGGCGTGCTCCAATGCATTGGCGAAGCGTCGGCGCAATAGAGGAAGGAGTGGGCGAGCTCGACGCCGAGGGCGGATCTGCTCGGCGCTCGCGACCTCTGGATGGGGGGTGGCCATGGAGGAGGACTGGAGCGTTCATCGCCACAGAGGCGCTGGGCCGCGCCACCGACGCGGCGGCGAGGAGCACGGCGAAGGGAGTGGAGCTGATATAGGCGCTGGCATTTTCAGTGATTACCAGTTAACGCGCGCGATGAGCTGATGCAGCTGACTGAGAGCGCCGAGCACGTGGGCACCAGGTCTTGGCAGCAGCTCATCACGCTGGTGATTTTGTCGAGGAAGGGCGCTGGAGGGTCCTGGTTCGAGCCTCGTTCACGGGCCGCGCCGCGCCTCGGCCGCAAATAAGCATAATCGAAAAGATCGTCTTCATGACCATCGCCATCATCACCATCATCATCATTTGCATGGTCACCAGTATCAGTATATGCATCGCCATCGTCTTCGTCATAGTCGTCATCTCCATGCCATCTTCACCAGAATCCTCATCTTCATGGGCATCTTTTTCGCCGTCACCAGCCTATTCTTTTGCTAAACATCACCATGCCCCGCGCCACCGTCATCATCCCACCCGTTTTCCTGCCCCTTGCGGCTGGTTGCTCCGCTCTTTTGCTCGTCCCTTCCCCTTGGTGTTCCGCTGCCGATCCGCCTGTCCTGTTCCCCCATACGTGTTTTTCTTATTTTAGCAAGTTGCTTTAATCGGATATAAAAATCGTTGTTAAGATTATGAATGGTAATAAAATGCCAACGAGGATCAATCAACGTGTTCCGGCCTATGGGGCCCAAGAATGCACACTTCCACCGCTTCCCTCCCCCCCCTTTTTCTTAGATCAGAAGGAAGCGAAACAGGAGGCGGCGGGAAAAGGCGGAAAGGGGGGCGAAGGTGGTGGTGGTGAGCATCTTTGGGGCCCGCGCTTCCTTGAAGCCCCGACCGTTTTCCCAGGGCTGGTGTTTCACCCCGGGTCGTGTTTTTTTTGAGTGGCCCCCGTTCCCGGTGAGGCCCCCTGGAGGCGGAACAAGGGCAAAAGGCACGCGGTCCCTGGCCGCGAATGGGCTGTTCCCCAATCCAGATTTGCAGGGGCGTCACGAAGACAGGGAGAGTCCCCGTTGGCCGACGCGTCGTTTTTCCACGTCGCCGACAAGCTGTTGTCCCATGTTTGTCGGACGGATCCACCGTTAAGTCGGACATGTCCCTCTACAGGAGGTGTATTCGAGAATCGTTAAAAGTACTTGGCACCCCGCAGATGCGGATAACAGTGAAGGGGTGGAGGGGACGTCGGCAGTGTACGAGACTCTCGGAGAAACCCGCCGCAGGCGCCACAATTTCACAAATTATGCAACGAGCTCGCCGCAGGCGCCGACTTTTTCGTTGAGTCAATGTGGGTTGGTCGCGGGTGGGTCGCTGTTGGGTCGCGGGTGGGTCGCGGGTGTAGAGGTTAGAAAGACCATTCCAGAATAACCACCCCGACAAGCGAAGCCGTTTAGAAAACGCACACAAGGAATGGATCGAACAGGGCATGGGTTTTTAGTCAACGCCAAGGGCCGTTATAGCAAACGCCAATTGTCGGGTCCGGGTGGTTTTTCGTCCCTTGAGGGTGGGTCGCGGGGTGGGTCGCAGGTAGGTCGTTGGTGGGTCGCGGATGGGTCGCGCATTGGTCGCGGGGCACGTCGCGGGTGGGTCGCGGGGTGGGTCGCTGGTGGGTCGCGGGTAGGTCGCCGGTGGGTCGGTGGGTGGGTCGCGGGTGGGTCGCGGGGTGGGTCGCGGTTGGGTCGCGGGTGGGTCGCGGGGTTGGGTCGCGGGGTGGGTCGCGGGGTGGGTCGCGGAGTGGGTCGCCGGTGGGTCGGTGGGTGGGTCGCGGGTGGGTCGCGGGGTGGGTCGCGGGTGGGTCGCGGGTGGGTCGCGGGGTTGGGTCGCGGGGTGGGTCGCGGGGTGGGTCGCGGAGTGGGTCGCCGGTGGGTCGCGGGTGGAACGACGACAACAAACAACAACATCAACAACAGCAATCATTTTAAAATTGTTCGCTCCTATCTGCTCACGTGCTAGTTAATGCGTATGACACAATAACTCGGTACCCGCCCTCGTCGTCTTCGATCGCACCCCCTTGGGGGTATACCTTCCTTACCTGCCATGCGTCTTCAGCCCCTAAAACAAGGGAAGAGAGGACGGGTGGAAGGGGAAGGGATAGTAATGGAGCACGAAAGAAATTAGCAGGAGGGGGGTAAGGAGCAGAACACAAGTGGTAGAAACAGACGGGCAGATCGTGTGGACAGACCCATAGCGGGTATGTCGGGCAGGCGGGCCCAGGCGACGAGGTCGAACAGGCGGGTTGCTGAAACGTGGGTCCTGCATGAATCGCGATGAAGGCTCGAGCGATCGCACAATTCTTGAGTAAATAGTGAGAGAAGCCAGCGTGGGCCACGAAAGGCATACAATCCGAGGCCACAGAGAGCAGCGACGGGGCCGCTGAGGGCAGCACTGTGGCCACGAAGGGCAGCGAGGGGGCCACAAAGGGCGACAGCGGGACCACGAAGGGCATGCATATGGGACCACGACGGGCGTGAGCGAGCGGGGGCCACGAAGGGCATTCTTATACGGGGCCGTAAAGGCGACAGCGCGGGGCCACTGAGGGCAGCCAAGGGGCCACGAAGGGCAGCGACGGGGCCACGAACGGCGACAGCGGGGCTACGAAGGGCATGCGTATGGGGCCACGACGGGCGCGTGCGAGCTGGGGCCACGAAGGGCATATAATGCAGGGCTACGAAGGGCAGCGACGGAGCGACTGAGGGCAGCAACGGGGCTACGAAGGCGAGCGAAGGCGACCGCGGAACCAGTACGAGCAGCGAGGGGCATCGAACGCGGGCGAAGGGCAGCGGGCGGCGACTGCAGTTATTAACGGGCTGGTCGGGCGGGTCGAGCGGGTGGGTCGTTGAAGCGTGCGTCCTGCTTGAACCGCAAGGCAATATGTAGCGGGAGCGCGATTCCTGAGTGTCGAGGACCGGCATCTGAACCAATTGTGAGGAAATATCAAGCGAAGCGGTTCGGTGGTAAATTGCGACGAAGTCCCGAGCGAGAACGCGATTCTGCGATACATTGTCAAGAAGTATCGAGCGGGAGCCGCAATTCTGCGGTAAATTGCCAGGAGGTCCCAAGCGAGGGCGCGATTCTTCAATATGTGAGCAAGTAGCAGGCGGGAACCGTTGTTGCTATTGTTCTAAATTTGGGGCCAACGATGCAATTTGAGCTTCAATATTTTCCTGGATAAAATAAAAACAGGGTGCGAGCCCCGGGAGGGACAGTTCAAGTGACAAATACAATGACCAGGCGGGGGGATAAACTATAATTATTTTCAGAAATGAGAGTTTAACAACAACAACAACAACAACAACAATCATTTAAGACTGGGGACACTCCGTTCTCACCAGTGCCAGGGTTTTCATAGGAGGCGGGCAATACCCCCACTTTGTGGGGGGGCCGGTTCAAGCTCTACCAAATTTCCAAACGACTCTTCGCCACCACCCACACCCAGCTTCCCGCCCTATGACGTTCGGACACTTCACTTCGTGGCATGCGGACGACCGTGGCTACTATTCAGGGCCCCGCGGCCGACGACGACGGCGTGCGCGCGCGAAGAAAAAACGAATGTGTCCCGCATGGTATTATTTGACAGGGATGATGGCCCTGGCAGGTGCGCAACCGTTGTCGCAGAAGTTCGAAAAAGTTGCTCGCAAAAGCCCGTTTGACAGAAATGTTTAAAAAGTGTTGGGTTTCCTACGAATCCGCAAGAGCGCGCGGGATGAGATTTTGACATTTTTTTGTTGAAAAACCATTGGTTTTTTGATGTTTTTATGTTAAAATCGCTCCGAACACTAAGCTTTTGGAAGGATTTCGTCTTGCGCGCGCGAATGTCCACTTTACCTTATTTTTTGCAAGGGATTCTTGAAATTTGATTATATTAGAACAAGAAATGTCATTTTATAGTGTTTTTTGCAAGGGAAAACGGATTACAACAAAACAACCGGATCTGGATCACATCGTTTTACCTGAGGCTTCCTCACGAAAATTATGAAAATGTGGCTGCGGCCTAGGCGCGGGGGGGGGGGGGCGTGCACCAGGGGGCCCAACAATAATTATTCTTTCGAATAAATAATGTTCAACAACAACAGCAGCAGCAGCAACAACAACAACAACAACACAAACAACAAAAACAATAACATCAACAACGTTGCAACAAACATACTTCTCACCACGAAGTCCTTTTCCAGCCACGCACCCAGGGACAATGAAAGACCGTTCAGCCCCCTCACTCTGATTATGACGAAGGTTTTCCATGTTTTGGTCATGCTTGAATATGTTTGGACTGTTTTCCAGTTCTCTTCCAAAAGCCGCCTGTCACGGGACATCCCCGACGTAGATTTATCGAGCTGTGAGCCGCAGCAAGCGGTGAGCGTTCCTATGTGTCTTTGCTTCGCCGCGCCTTTCCTGGCCGTGGGTTGCCTGTTTCCTCAGTGTTGCTGTGGCTGTCGAAGCCGCGCTTTCCTGTGGCTCTGCTGCGCCCCCTCTCTAGACGCGTGCGGTCTGGGGCGGTGGTGAGTATGAGAGATGGCGACGACGACGACGACGACGACGACGACGACGACGACGGCCCCGCGTTCCGCGCTGTGCCGCCCCGCCCCCCCTCCGCGCCAGGCCCTCGGCCGCCGGCCGCCCAGTCCGCGCGCCGAGCGCGCCGAGGGCGCCGCGCGGGCCGCGCGCCGCGTGCGTGGGCGGCGGTCTCCATGGCCTCCTGAGGATGGGGTCGCATCGCTCCGGAGGATCGTGATCGCTCCGGATCCCCGGTGCATCGGCGATGCGGCTGGGTGT